AAGCGTAAAGGCAAATGTTTACTCGTTCGCGGATGATTAAATGGTCGGTAATTTCATAAAGTATTCTTGTATAGATTATATATATATATATATATATATATATATATATATACACCTTTATGTGTGTGTGTGTGTGTGTGTGTGTGTGTGTAGGAAGAAGGAGATATTTATAGAGAAAGAAGAACATTCGTTTGATACAAGTTTTTAATTTGGTTTAACTTTGTAAGTTTTTTTAGGAGAATTTATTATTATTATTATTATTATTATTATTATTATTATTATTATTATTATTATATATACAATGAAGATAGTAAATGATATTTTCTATTTGTAGTTTTATTTCTTTCCTTCTTTTTTTTCTTTTCTTTTCTTTAAGTGGATTTGACCGGTGATTTCAAATCGCAAAAGTCATAAAACAAGACGTTAGCTTTATGATGCGGAAGGGTCAAAGGTGGAAAGAGAAATAAAGAGAAATAGGAAGAGAGAGAGAGAGAGAGAGAGAGAGAGAAAGAGAGGGACAGAGAAAAAGAAAAAGAGCAGGATGGAAGATAGTTTTCATTGCAACGTTAGGACTCAGAAAAGCATGAAAGAAATTGGGAGATATTTCCAAAACGTAAGCGAGGTATAGTTAAAAAAAAAAAAAAAAAAAAAAGAAAAAAAAAAAAAAAAAAAAAATTAAAGTTTCAAAATTCTACGACAAAATGTCGTAATAAGCAACAAAGAAAACAAAGAATTATAAATCGTTATAAACGTTATTCCATAGAATTTTATGAATATAACATATCCCACTGTTGTCCTTTAGTTTCCTATCTTTTATATTATTTACAAACGAACGACATTCTCCTTTATATCTCACGTAAGGTATTCTCGCACATTCGAGTTAATACAAAAACCATGAATCCTTCTATCCCATTACTTTTATATCGTAAAAAGAAAGAGATAAGACGTTACTCTTGGTATATGTATAAAATATTCCCAGATGATAAATTATATCATGAGTTTCGCAGTTAGCAGATAACATACGTTTATATAAACAAGAAGTTTCATACAGAGACGGTTTAACATTGACCTCCCCTTCCTCGTTTCTCCCGTAAACGCAAATATCTCGAAGCTAAGTAATAGCCAAACTACATAACATTTCTACAAATACCATAAATTTAACTTCGATCAAATCCAAACGTCGTTCATTTCGACTTTCGTCGGTTTCGTTATTACTTTAAATGACATTAAAATTATAATAATAAATTAATAATTAGATTTTATGAAGTATCCAAGATCATTTATTTACAGTTTATACGATTCCTATCGGTATACGGTAAAAGAATATATATATATATATATAATATATAGAGAGAGAGAGAGAAAGAGAAAGAGAAATCGTGTAGAAAAGCGTATCACCTTTTTCGTTAATATTCAATGTACGTGAAATGTCAAACGTGTACTGCAAGCCAAATTCGAAGGTATTCCATAATAGCCTGCAGCTTGAGCAAGCACGAAACTAATCTACAAACTCGTTGCAAGCTGATAAGTCAAGCCCATGTTTAACTTTGGTTGTGACGTTGCTTCCAACCAGAGGTCGTGTATAATTAGCGATTATTGAATTTGCGATTTGCCCGCTACGATTACATAGAAAAAGAGAAATAGAAAGGGGGAAAAAGAGAGATATCAAAACGATCTCGTTATCGTTTTGCTCGAATTCATGAGAATTGTCGGATATTGGTGAGAGAGAGAGAGAGAGAGAGAGAGAGAGAGAGAGAGAGAGAGAGAGAGAGAATATGGAAGTTTATATTCGTTATACACTTGATTGACTTACGATTTAAAATGTACATTTCATTTCCATTCGTGATTTGAAATCAAAATTATATGATATTATTATTATTATTATTATTATTATTATTATTATTATTATTATTATTATTATTATTATTATATCGATTGGGGGGGGGGGAGAGAGAATTAATATTATTTTTTTTTCCTTCTTCAGAAATATTTTCTTTTTTATTTATTGATTTTATTTTTTTCGCCGAACAATAATCTCAAGACTATCAATCGAAAACGATGGAAATTATTTCAAATGTTATCAAATGAATTATCCTTTACGATGGATATCTTTAAGAAAACGATTTAACTTTTTTTTTTTTATATATATATATATATTTTTTTTTTCCTTCCTCCTCATTGTATTCCTTTAAATCAGATCTTCAGATTATCCTACTTATCTCTCTCTCTCTCTCTCTCTCTCTCTCTCTCTCTCTCTCTCTCTCTCTCTCTCTCTCTCTCTCTCTCTCTCTCTCTCTCTATTCTTTAATTTTCAAAAAAGATATCGTTTTCGATATATACTCTACGTTTGGAACAAAATACAAATACATATCTTCCTTCTCTGAGTATTGTAAGCGATGTAACAAGGATGTTCGAACAGTCTCTATTCGATGATAACCCACATATGAAGACAAAAAGCTTTTGTTCGTCCTTTGAATATCACGATGACGCAATGGAGACCTTTCGGTAGGAACTCTTGTCTTTTGATAAAGCGAAGAGAAAACGATATCTCGTTTATGGGAGGAGGGAAGAGGAGGAGACGGAGGGGGAGAGGGGAATATGAGGGCCAAGAGGAATGGGCGGTCGGAGGATGAATAAGTGAAAGAAAAAGGAAACGGTTTGGTCATCTTCTTCTTCCTGACATTATTACATTAGTTTCGTAATTCCGTCATTTTTCATCGACCTTTTCTTTTTCTTTTTTTTTTTTTTTTTTCTAATCCTCTATCAGTTCATCCATCGATATTCGACATCAAATATTTCAAAGTGTCTTATTGCCAGTTAAAGAAAAAAAAAAAAAAAAAAGAAGAAAAAAAAAAGAAAAAGAAAAAAAAAAGGAGTAAATCAGATAGTTTCTTTATTGTTGTTGTTCATTTTTATTTGTTTATTTATTCATTCGTTAAAGAAGGAACAAACTATTTCCAAACGAAAGTTCGAACTTTAATTGTTAGTCATTCGTAATGTTCCATTAAGTAGACATTGGTACGCTTCGAGATGTCATGGCAATATATTGTTGTCTGTTAATGAGAAAGGAAAATCAGATAGCACAGGGGTTTGTAGAAAGGGCTGGAAATTTAGGGGAGGGTATAGGAATAGGTGTAAGGAAATTAGGTACAAGGTGAATTAGGTAGAGGATAATCAAATAGCCAGAAACATAGTAAATGTATGTATGTATGTATTTATATGTGTTACAGAAAAAGAGAGAGAGAGAGAGAGAGAGAGAGAGAGAGAGAGTGGGATACAGGAATAGGATCTATGGTATGGGAGAAATTTCTAACAGAATGAATTTACTTTCTAAACCCAAATGCGTCCTAACCGCAATGAAATTCAAATTCGATGCAACGAGATCGTCTTTCTCTTTATTTTTCTTTTTCTTTTTTTTCCTTTTTTTTTCTTTTTATTTTGCTTTCTTTCCTTTTCATTTTACTTAAATATTTATCTCCGTTACCTCCTTCTTTCTTTTCCAAATTGTTCTTTTGTTTTTTCTTTTCTTTTTCTATCTTGATGATCCTCCCTCCTCTCTCTCTCTCTCTCTCTCTCTCTCTTTCTAAATATATATATATATATATATATATATATATATATATATATATATTTCCTGGGTATCTTCAACTTTCCTTTCTCTTAGATTTCCAACGATCGAAACGATTTCGAAATAAGACGATACTCCTCGTTGAATTTCGAATGAGACATTCCGATTAGAATTTCTAAGATTTCTTTGCTGAAAGATTTCTTCCAACGCGAATAGATATAAAATGTTAATTCATTAAATGTATCATCTAACGTTATTCATACGATTAACAATTTCTATGATTATTTATATACAAAGATATTTATAATAATATTTCGATAAAATTATTTCATTAATTTAGAGTTCTTTTTCTCGAGGTCGTCCGATGAAAAATCTCTAGAAATTGAAATCAACTACGTTCTTTTCCCGAAAAGTATATCTACATACCGCCTTTCACGCAAAGTGAAAACGTTCTCGTAAAAACACGAGTTTCCTTATCACTCTTTGTCTATCCTTCTCTATCTTTCTCTTTATATCTCTTTCTCTGTTTTTTTTTCTTTCTTTCTTTTTTCTTTTTCTTTTTTGTTTTGTTTTATTCGAATCGTTTCCATCGCGAAGAAAGCACCGCAACGTTTTAAGCGCGATTGCAATACGAAAGGGAATAGATTTTCTAACTGGTGCGAGAGATATCTTTGGTTTTATTATACCTATTCTCCATTTTAAAAGATTTCTTTTATCTCTTTTTCTTCTTCTTCTTCTTCTTCTTCTTTCTCCCCATCGTAATTTGATTTTTTTTCTTTCTCTTTTTTTTTTTTTTTTTTTTTTTTTTTTTTTTTTTTTTTTTTTTTTTTTAAGATCAATTTCGGTCAACACAAAAGCAGGTTTGTCGTTTCTCGTGAACCACATCGTCGAAGAGTATTCGAGCGAAACGTTTCACCCTTCTTAATACCAAGGGTAACTTGAGAAAAGATCGTACGTGTCTCTCGAGGGAAGCTTAGTATAGTTTTCAGGTCTTGAAATGTACATCGAGAGAGGATCGTGGCGGTCGTCGTTATTTGCTTTTCCTTTTTTTCGAGGCCGCTTCCGAGTAATCCGAGAAGCAGCTCGTAAACACATTCCAAGCACGCAGCGTTGCGTGTTAGTTAATGATAAAGGAAGAGAAAAGGGGGTGGATCGAGATAAAAACTTGTACGGTTGTATAGGGATGCATTAGAAACCGGTGAACTTTTTCGAAAGATAAAGGCAGTATCGTATAAAAAAACATTTGAAGTTCCGTAAGCATTAATCGTATCCATTCGAATTTTAATCAATATGTATATATATATATATATATATATATATATATATATATTCATTGAATTAATGAACTTTGATAATTTACAAGTTGTTCTAAATTTCTCGATAATTTTTCAAAGACACAAGCGAAATCGACTTTCTGGTTGGCATTACTCACCTTATCGATACGAGTATCATGGCGAATATCAGGTACTTCCCAAGCAATGGCACGACCAACGACGTTGGCGGAATAATCTCAACGACCAAGAGGAAAAACACGTGAAGACTGATGAGGATTGATATGGAGAGGGTCACCTGAAACGTGACAAATTGTGGACATTTAACTTTCCCTCTTATGTACATATATCCCTACTAATCTATCTTTTAATTTTTTTTCCTCTTCTTACGGATATACGTATAAACTTGTTATATCTTTTCTTTACTTTCATACCTTTAGATATTAAAATTTTGTTCGTTTGAAATAGTCTAAAAAGAAAAAAAAAAAAGAAAGGAAAGATAAAAAAAATAATAACAACAGCATACGAAAAATAATCTTCGATTAAGAACATGGTAAATCAGTTGTAATAATACGACGGTGATAAAAAAAAATTAATTTGCTAGACCTATCAAAAACGTAAATTAATTTAATAAATCAATATATATATACATAGGTAACGTTATTATCGGTAATGTTATTTTTAGAGGGATTAAAATCCTTTTCGTGTTGAGACCATCCCATAAAGGGAGAAAGATACAAGTCTTTTCTTATTCTTTATTTTCCCTTTTTTTTTTCTCTCTCATCTTCCTCTCCTTATTCGAGCTTGGCATCCCTCAACGTATTACGAATTTAAGCTCAAGTTGGGAAGAAAAAAAGTAGAAAGAAAAAAAAAAAAAAAGAAGAAGAACAGGAAAGTACGGATGATGATGGTCGTCTGAGACGAGAGAAAATTCGTATTTATAGCTTGGATAAAGAATACGACGAAGAAATGAGAATGAAGGGTAAGAACGTGTCCGGTTAAAAGGAAGAACTTTCGAAACTGATACCTCTATCATCGTTTATATTTAATAAATTACGATAATACGATATCATTTGGATATCATTAAATATATATCAAATATTCACGAATACGTATTTTTAATTGATCTCGGTGTTTAATATAGCAGAAAATTTCCAATGGAATGTTTTCGAAGTGATAATCGTTCCCCATAGTTAAATAATTCCCATTGGACCGACCATTAAGACATTCACAATCGGATTGCTTCGCCGTTGTTCTATAATTGGTTCTTCGATCGACAAAAGTGGGAAGTTAGATCCGTGAGAATTTCTAGATACACTTGCCACGATATATATATATATATATATATATATATATACAGATACACATACACAAAAACCTATACAGAGAAACGTGCCAAAGCTATTTTCGTTCAGCGAAGAAGACACGTATCTCTCTTCTAGGCTTTCAATGAAATCGACGGCGAGGGTCTGACTATCTTGAATCATTTATCTCCCCAACGTTCTTCGAGTATAACTTTTCTCCTGAGAGATTCTATAGACTCGCTAGTAAAACACATATACACCCACATACGCCCACATTCATCCCCACGCGAACGCACGTATACAGATACAAAAAGATACATTCGTTTTATATATCACGATATTGGAGAGGGAGAGAGATGAGTGGGTGGCAATTCTTCTCCGTTGTTTTCCGATATGCCAAGTACGACGCTTGCATTTTCGACGTATTAATTTATAAAATGGTAGAAGAGTTTCGGTCCTCGACACGAGAAACAAGATCTATTATCAACTTTCCATTGGTTCTCCTACGCGCTTTTCGCAAACAGACCTCATCGTCGATGCAGTTTGGTCAATATTGTCTCTTCGATTGGCGCACCTATTACACATAATCGTTAACTCTAATCTAATAACGGATAATTGACAAACCTTAAGCGACATTGTTTTACATGATATGTATTTCAATCTAAATAACAACAAAGTCTGATGATAGATTAGATCGATAGAGTATATATATATATATATATATATATATCAAACAGGTGTCACTTCTCATAAACTTCATTCGATTTAAATCGATACCATTATGTATTAAAATGGAATAGAATTTGTAATCTAACATTTCGAATGTTAACTTCCTATGGTGTCACTTAACTTTACCAGTGATTGAACCAAAGCGAGCAGAGATCGTATGGTAATTAATGGCACGGCATTCTCTGTTTGAGGGTGAACAGAGAACACAGATGGTGCCTAGATACATTCTCTCGAAGGATGTAGGACATTCCGAGCGTGTAAACGTCAAGGTATTTAAATGACACTATTTGGATCGTTCAATTGCATACATATGTTGTGTATATATATATATATATATTGTACATATGTGTGTGAACGAATGTTCCTAATGAATTACGAAATAGATGAGACGAGATCTATCTTTGTGGTCGATGATTTGTGTAAATATATGTAACATCAGTTGCGAGCTTTGACTTTTCCATATTTTTACTTTTCTCCTTTTTATTCATTTTTTCTTTTGTTTTTTATTTTTCTTTTTTTTCTTCTTCTTCTTCTTCTTTTTTTTTTTTTTTTGGTTCATCGTTGAACCATAGAAAAGAGCATCCAGATAAAAGAGGTCTCGTAACGGAAGTTCGACTTTTCGTTAGACTGCTGCTCGGCAAGTTGGAGAGTCGAGAGCATCGAATACGGATATATTCTCACACTCGAACACGAATTTCTAGTCCAGGTAGTACCACCTCTCAGTCGTCCTGAAGTCTTTTCCTAGACATACTCGTGTTATACGCGATATATATATATATATATATATATATATATATGTGTGTGTGTGTATGTGTGTGCATATGTGTATGTATATATGTAGATTCTGTACGAGAAGGGTGCATTTTCACGACGATTTCAAGCTCTTCCCTCTTTAGATCACTCGAGGGATCACGACTCGCCTGTTCTCAGAGATAACTGTGATGAACTACCGAAACCTATACACGATAGAAACGAATATGAGAAATCGAGAGAGAAAACCCTCTAGGCTATTCTCGATAGATAAAACATCTTCGAACAATAAAGGGAGAATTATTGTTGAAAGAGATGAAAAAAAATGTAAAATAAATATTTTTCAACGAGATAAAACTAAAAGACGATTATTTCAATATACAAAGTATACCTCGTTTATTTGTTTGATATTTATAAAATTGATCATGTACGTATATGTAAAGCGGTTTAACAAAAAAAAAAAGGAGAAAAAAAATATTCAAATAGAAATAAATATGAAAACGATTCGAACCAATCATTTTGACTGTTTTCTTTTTTTTTTTTTTTTTTTTTTTTTTTTTTTTTTTTTTATTCATTTAAACTAATAAATGATCAAAAATTCTTTGTAGAGATTAAGCGTGTTTTTTCGTCATTTCTTTTTCTTTTCTTTTCTTTTCCTTTTTTTTCTTCTTCTTTTAAGAGAAACGAAGTAACGATGGTTCGTACATACGAGGGAGTAATTTTGAAAGAAATATGGGAATTCTCTCGGGTGATCGTATACACACTCACACACACATATCTATATATATATATATATATGCACATGTAAAGTGGCATATAGCGTTTTCAGGGCGTCAATCAAGCGGGCTGAATCGATAAGCAATATCGCGGTCCGGTGATTGACCTGCAGCAGCCAGTGCGACTATCGAAATTACATCTTCTCTCTCTCTCTCTCTCTCGTTGTATGTATATATAGCTATATATACATATATATATATATGTATATGTGTATATATATTGCTTGCTCTTTCACGGCGTCACCCATAATATGGGAAATCATGGCGTTACCACCCTCTTTCAACCATCCTTCCACCCCTCTTTCTCTTCCACCTTGTCTTTTCTATTCTCTCGGAGCTTTATAGGTTGCATCCAAGCTCGTATACGAGAGTACCGAGATAAATAATAATCCGTTGGACACAAATTGAATTTATGTTCGAGATATAGAGTTACTCTCGTGATGTTATCGATAAGAGATTCATTTCATCCTTTAAATCGATCGATGTACGTTTTTAGAAACGTCAGTTAGACTGTCACTCTTTCTTTCTGTCTCTCTCTTTTACTCTCTTTCTATTTCTCTCTTTCTCTCTCTGTTTTTTTCTTTTTTCAGTTTTATAAAACCTACGTATCAATTTCGAATTTATTTAAATATTCAGATAACTTGCTTTTATTCATTCACGTGTATTCGTATTACATTACACGTTACGTATATACGTTGATTTAATGTTAACGCATATAAAGGATAATTTAGTCAATGGAATAGTCGTAAAGGATAAAGAATGGATAATGTTTTAATGGCTTTGTAAAAACAAAAACAAAAAAAAGAAAGAGAGAGAGAGAGAGAGAGAGAGAGCGAACAAGGTAGAAACGTTTTTACGTACGCTAATTTCACGTTAACGAGTGTGACCCTTGTGAGCGAAGAGAATAAGGGAGACGACGTGTTTCGTCAAAAGTTAACAAATAAAAAAGCCAAAGGGGAAGGAAGCTAAAAGGGTTTTGATATCATTCGGACCAATGAAAACGCGAGGTTCCTTTACATTTCGATGTGAAAGAAAAATCTCCAACAAAGGTATTTCTTATAATGCCGTATAGTACGAAGATGGTATTAAAAAGTGTATCAAAGGAAGGGGAGAGGGGGGGGCTAGAGTGAGCAGAATTAAAAAAAAAAAAAGAAAAGAGAAAAAGAAGGAGAGAAAAAAAAATAGAAAAAAAAAAAAGAAAGAAGGACAGAAAAGTAAAAGAAAAGAAAGGAAAATAAAAGAAAGAAAAAAGAAAGAAAGGAAGGAAAAAAAAGAAGTAGGAAAAGAAAAGAAGGAAGTCGATTTATCGTATCTAAAAAAGATAATATTTTTCTCTTCCTTCCTATCCGTTTAAACGGATAGCACTTTTCTTTCTCTTATATCTCTTCGATTATCATTGGATTTCAAAAGCAAACGAACAATGTTGACAACGTGTGGTCCGTGTGTGAATCCTTAAAAAAGGAGAAGAAAGAGAACGAAGAGGATGGGGAATAGATGAGAGAGAGAGAAAGAGAGAAAAAAAGAGAGAGAGAGAGAGAGAGAGGATCCGTTTATATCTCCCGAGGCAGGTGGACTCGGTGACCGAAGAAAAAAGAAAAGGAA